GGAGGAAAAAATGTTGAAGGAATGGATAATATCGGAGGTTACTAAAAATTGGAAGAGCCGGATCGAAAAATTTCGAAAAATTGTCATTCGGCTAGATTATGTTGGAGTCGGATTCCTCCCACCGAAGTCAACAATCTCGCAACGGCCAAGTGTGGAGATAAACCGGTGGACCAATCATTAAATCGATAGTTGGCTTGTTTAAACCGATGAGCCAATATAAACCATCAATTTGTAAGAGGGGCGGTTTAATGAGCTAGCCGACCTAGCGCTTGACCGGTTAAGGGCTTGCCGCAGATAAATGGAAGTTTCTAGAAAGCCCACCGCGGATAGATGGAAATCCCGAAGGAAAAGGAAAATTTCCTTTTCGTTTTAGCTCTAGCCGCCTTAGACTAATATATATACATATTTACATCTTCCGCAGAGGGAATCCGAAATTCATTATCTAAACACTTGTATTCTGAAACAGTTTTCTTAACAGCTTAATAAAACTTCTCTTGAAATCTATCGTTTTAGTAGTTTTCCGCAGAAGTTTTCAAACCCTAGAAAAGTTACTACGACAAATTCTAATTGTGAGATTCGACTCCCACATATTCCATGAAGGTGTGTCCTTTGTGGATAAATGGACGCACACCTTCATTATCGTGGGACAACAAGACTTTGAGAGAAATTTTTAATCGGAATTATCCAATAAACAAAGACTAATTACAACCTCTCTCTCCTCCTTCAAATCTCCTCCTCTCTCTCTCAAAACTCTATTTTTCTCTCCCAAAGCTCAACCTCTCTCTCAAACTCTAAACTCATCTTTATCTCTGAAGCATTTAATCATAATGAAATTCTAAAAATACTAACTTTTGACTTTACAACAAACTTTTTTTAAAACATAAGTATGTTTAAATTTTTGCATTTTCTTCAAATTGGAACATTCAGTGTTTTTTTTCAATTGAAAGATAAAAGTGATTTTTCGAAAAACATATTTAATTTTTGAGAATTTTTGAGAAATGCCATTTGTGAAGTGTTATTTTTCAAAGAATTTTTTCAAAATATGTAAAAAATACCACTTTTTCAAAATATGTGGAAAATACCATTTTTTCAAAATTATTTATTCATTATATCATTTATATTTGGGTTAACTATGTTTTATTAGGGTTTAATTTTGAGATATAATGATATAATACAACATAGTTAACCCAAACATAAATGATATAATGAATAAATAATTTTAATAAAGTGGCATAGTAAAGATTGTACAAAAATGACATTTTTGTAAAGTGGCACTTGAAAAGTGACATTTTTTTGAAATTTCTAATTTATTTGTATATACTTTAGTGTAAACTATATAATATACATATACAACAAGCAAATTATGTATCATTTTACTACGGTTAAAAATTAATTTGATTTATGTTTCAAAAAAAAAAATTTAATTTGATTTAAAATGTAATATAATAAAATATACAACACATACATTGTGTAAATAATCATCTAGAGTATATTAAACCAACAATTATTAAGATAAAAACTATCTCAAATTTGTACAAGTCAACTAGTAATATTGAAACATATGTTATATTACTTTTTTTTTTCTCTCTCGTAAAATGTTAAGATAAATCTGACGCTAGCCTTGGACCATATGGTATATTAGTTGTATTGTATGACTAATTGATTTAAACAGTTTCAAAATATCAAAGTGCTACTCCAGGAATCCCGTATGATCTTAACGGAGGATGGTCTAGAAGGGCTTGACTTTAACAACCCAAAATAATTCCTTATCCCTTCCTGAAATCCCGTACGATCTCCAAACGATATTAAAACACCAATTGACAGTAGCACCTTCCCACATATTTAATACTATTTAACCACTCTGAAAACAACGTGACATGCAAAATAAAACCTTTTATGATATTTTACTACTTCATTTGTAACATATTATTTTTGATGGTTAAGGTTTCTATACATAAATTAAAAA